TTATCTTCCAATGTTCAGTTTCCTGGACGTTTTTCAATCAGTGTTCATGAGGAATGTTATATCCGGAATAACATCACTTCCAAGATATTTGGATCTAACTTCGATGAATGCCTAACATGTGCTCTGCATTCGTTGGAAACCGCCCCACTTTGTATAGCTGTGCCCGTAATCATGTGTGTCCGCTCAGAATACGTACTAACATAATAACCTCAAACTTGCTCATTTTGAGAAGACTTCTAGTCTTCCTCTGATTAGGGCCACCCCATAGGATCTTTGTGATTCTACCCATTATTCAAGAGGCCTTATGGGATTCTCTCAACCAAATTTTTATTTTGCGTTCGTCAGGTAGTTAAACCTCTAGCTCCCTTCCCTTAAAAGCTAATAAATACATTCGCCCTTTCGTGGCCGACTACTCCCGAGTGCCCTATACAATCGACTCTTACAATCGAATACTGTCTTAGATATAGCTTTATCCTGATACCTGATATATTGCCTTCTGGCTGTCGGTAAATATGTTAAGCTCTGTGGTCGCCATATAAGTATATTAGAATTAGAATTATTGCTCGGACTTCTAACTGGAAGCTTGTGTTGTGATTAGTGGTGGTGTATTTCTGTTTATGGGTCTTCAATATAGAACCCTAGACTCTCTTTGTCCCCCACTTTAGAGCCGTCCTCGTAGCAACGGATTCCTACAAGTATTTGCTCTAATGTACCGCTGGACCAAGACATTCAATCTAGGATCAGTGTTACAAAGTCTCCGAAATATTCTGTGTCTGGTATGCGATCGGACACGTCCGATAATTTATGTATAGCCTTCCAATGTGTCCAGTACGGCTGTAAGTGCCGCCTCATATCTTAAATATATTTCAATGGGTGGAATAGTCAGCAACGTTTCCAGAGCCATGGTTGACGTAGTACTCATGTCACCACTTATAACCAAGCAGCATGTTCGCTAAAATATTTAGTTTATTCTAAAAAAATTCAAGAAATTTTTTCCGCTATATCCAGATAAAACCCAAATCAGAGGCCATATTTTGGGTATTCCATATAATTTGCAATAGAAATATAATTAAAATGAAGATTTCTATAACACTTTTTTGAACTTGATATTTTTGTTAAATGTTTCTTACTGGAGTAATCACTTTCTCGGTAAGCTTTCTCATTTTTTGTAAACATCTGTCTGAGATCGCCATAAGTGTATAAGATAAAGAATTCGTACCTTCAGAAAAACTTTACGCGATCTTCTTTAACACTCTCATAAAGGCTGGGGGCAATTTAAAGAATAACTTGAGTTAATGACATTTGACAAACGATGGGGGTATATTGATTATGTCATTCCGTTTCTAATACATCGAAATATTGGTCATAGACCCACAAAAGTATATACATATATTCTGGGTCCTTATTCAATTCTAAGACGATCATTATAAGATTATGTTTGTTAATATCGGTCTGGGTTTTTGAATACAAGTGGACGCCCGAGGACGCTTTAACGAGCATAGTTAGTTAGTTTGAAAGGAGGATGTATATACATCAAATCCGAAGAAATACACCTAGGCCTCTAGGCCTGTTGTGCGCTCCTTAACCAGTGCCTCAGGTGGGAATCGAACCCACCACCTCCGGTCTACCAGACTAGAACACTAACCACTAACCTACCGGAGGCCACGGGCATAACTGTTTTAAAAGTACGAGTACAGCGATGAAAATCGACATAAATAAGTTTGAGAATCGGCATATAAATGACACCACCCCAATATAAGACCCCCCTCAGAAAATTACTTTCACTCTCATTACTGGCTAAAAATGAGCGATGAAATTTGACTGAAAGTTCCGTTTAGAAAATGACTCTGCCAAATTTAATGAGGATCAGTACATAATTGGCCTCAGTCAATTATAGCTCGGCCCATAATTTACTGAAGTCATATTCCAAACATCACCCCGATGTTTATAGGGAGCATTCCATATACCCACCTATCCTTGGATGGTTTGTATATGAGATTCGTCACAGCCCAACATAACTCTATTACTTCTTTAGATTTATAGTAGAACAGAAGAGAGTAAAGACAAAAAGTTTCATTGTTATATATTAATAACTTTCGACTAGTACCTGACTTCTTTTTGAAATCTATAAAATATATCTGTATGGAACTTTAGTTTCCTAAAAATGATCCTGATTTACTTAAAATAAAAGATTTAGTTTTAAATCGAAAGTCTTTTTATTTTTTGTTCAAACAAAGTGGTTCATGTCTCTAAATTTTAATAGCAATTTGAACTTTAAAAAAGTCCAACCGTCTGTCCCTTCAACTCTTCACCGGGGCATGTTACCTTCTTCTTAATGTGATTGCATTCCGGGTGAAAAGAGGTGCTACTAGTAGTCGATCGGATCTATAAACTTATGGTGTCAAATGTATCCTAGGTCTTTCCTTGCAATGATTTTACCTGTGGTCGAAATAGAGTATCTACCTTATCTGACACCACGGGAAACGGTAACACACGGGTCAGAGTTTCGGATTTTGTCTTGCCCCGGGGTGGAAGTGGTGGCTGAGATTTAAATACAAAATCGCGGGAAGAGAATATTGTTTAAAAGCCTGATTTACAGTAAAATTTATATTTCGGAATAAGTTCGGTGCTGTTGCCGAAAATATCAAAAGATACATCTTAACGGATGGCTATGAGGCTAAGTGTTGGGAAAGAGTCAAGTGTATAGGTTACGTAAAGGGATATGGGGGTTCTCTTCACCCATATACCTAGAGTGAAGGTGCCGGATAACTGAGAAGCGTATTCTGGGTTGAATAGTGAATATTAAAGTGATTGAATTTTCATTCCTTTGTCAGGGTAGGTTCAGTGTTTACTAGACCGTCTTTGTCTTATTTGATGGATTCTTATTTTCGGTCTACAGATTACGCCTCTAGGTCTCCACAGAGACCATCCCATGTTCGTGGTGGTAAACGGTAGTGATGTTTTTGCATCTCTTGTCCCTAGTTGGACGTGGTGGCTGTGATTTAAATATAAAATCTAGGGAAGAGAATGTTTTTTAAAAGCCCGATACACTGTGAAAGTTATATTTCGGCAAAAGTTCGGTGCTGTTGCCGATAAGAACTGCAGATACCTCTCAGCGGCTAAGCGTTGTGTTGGTGGCCAGTATATAGGTTACGGAAAGGGGTATGCGGGCCTTTTCCACCCATACACCTAGAGCGAATTTGTCGGATAACATAGACGCGTATTCAGGGTTTAATGGTGATGGATTTTCAGTTTTTACTCTGTTTATACCAGACTGTCTTTATCTTATTTGATGGATTCGTATTACGGTCTATCGATTACGTCTCTAGGTGCTGTTGCCGAATCAGCAGAGACCATCCCATCTGTTTGATGGTTAACCGAAGTGATAATATTGCATTTCCGAAGTGAAGCTACATGCAAATTACACAAAAGAGCGTTGGTGAGTCATTTCTAACTCACCCTATACTTGTAAAACTAACACCGTGAACCTATCACGTAAAGCACTTCGACTTAACCTTAAAATTATTGAATTTGTTTATGTTATTATAATATTTTAGTTTTATATTTATAAATTTCATTAATGACATTCTGATTAAATATTTAATTGACCTTCAGCTTTTATATTAATTTTATTATTATTATTAATTTGGGTTTTTAAATAATTGACGTCAATGAATAAACATGAAAATTTTAGTTAATGACGCATGTACTTCCAAATTTCTAAAAATTTCCTATTCAAAAATATTTTTAGCAAATATTTTTTTTTTTTTTAATTTTATTCAACTTAGCATAATAAGGTAAATATTTTCAAATAATTTGAAAACTATTATAGTAAACCAACTGTTTCTAACTGAAAATCAATTTCAAATTTCAATTTTTTAACACTGCATATTTTTACACATTTATTTTTTTGGAATAAATTAAATCTATTGAAATGAAAAAAATTTCCATAATTTTTAACATATTTGAAAACAAAATTTCTTGTTAACTGTGACTGACGTTGATAGAAAAAAGTATGAAAATGATCAATTTTGAATTTCATGAATATTTTGTAATATAAAACGAGAATTTTGTGTAAAGAAATAATAGATAAATTAAATAACAAGTAAGAAAATATAGCACCTGCCCAAAAGAAAACAATTAAAGATTTTTTAAGGGAATTACATTGAAATTACTCTAGATAAAAAAAGGAAACCTAAGAGTCAGCTAGCAGCCGCCAATTGTATTACGTTCTTAGAGGACAGGAATTTACAATAAATATAAAAACAGATGCTGAAATTTATTTGTAATATTTTACAATTGCCTCAAGAGATAAGACCAAAAAAGGTCTGTAATATAAGAACAAAACAAAGTTTTATAACAAAATACAAGGACTGTTTATGGAACAGGAAAAAGAAGATGAAAAAAAATCCTAATTACTTTTCAACCACAACAGAAATAGCTGGAACATGCTACAAATATTGAAAAAACTAGCACTTTTCAATTAGAAAGCAAAGTTCTAGAAGTGATAATAACAGGGAGGAGTTATACTGTTAAAGAAGAGAGAAAAAGAGTGAGAAAAATCATTAAAAACAAGCGTTAACAATAGCACTTAACAATATGAACACAACTAAATGATAAAGATGGTTTTTCTAAGTGTAAGTGAATGCTTTAAAAATGGAGTTTGCTTTTCATACGCACGCAACCGTTTTTTGTTTCTTTCTCTCTTACACTGACTTGCTTTCAACCAAAACACACAAGCAAACACTCACACACTCTCTCCCTTTCTCTCTCTCTCTCCCAAGGAACAGTTTAATGAATGAACCAATCACAAGCCCAATACAACAATTACTAAAAACAGGTATTTGAAAACTGGTTTCAAAACTAAGAGAGTGTTTTAACTTAAAAAGAGCGTAAAAAATGAGCATGTTTTCTATATTTGAGTGGGAGAGATTTGTTTAACTACTAGTTAACTAAACAGTTGTTTAATAAAAGATCAGTAGTTTTTGTAACGTTGAGTGGTTAAGATCGTTGAGAAAAAATAAAAAGAAAAGAATATTTATGTTTAGATTCTTAAGAAAAAAGAAGTGTTAAAAGAATTTTGTTACTAATTAGTAATTATTAATAAATAAACTAGTTTAACAACAAATTAGAAAACCAAAAAAAATAATAATAAACAGTGACTGAACAAATTAATAACAAAAACAACAGCAAAGTGTGTGGTGTTAATTAATAAAACAATTAAAAAAAATATTAATAAATTTTTTAAAAAAATAATTTTTAAATAAAATCTTAAACAAAATGTTTAATGTACAAGAATTAATGGAATATCGTATGCAGCAACAAATTGCTCAAGAAATTTATCGTCAACAAATTATGCAACGTATACCAGGTGGGTTTTTTTTTTTTCTTAAATTTTAATAAAAAATTGTTGAAAAAATTTTTATTGCCGTCGGCTTTTTTAAGAAAATTTGAAATGTTTGAATTTTTGTTTCAAAGAATTTTTTTAAAAATTCTTTTAGAATTTTTTAATAAAATTAAAAATTTTAAAAGAATTTTTTCAATTTTTGAAAAATTAGGAAAAAATTAAATTTTGAAAAACTTTTAAAAATTCAAAAAATTATAATTATAAATAACTAAATAAAATAAAAAAGTTATTTCTCCAAAAAAAGCTTGAAAAAGCTTTTTCCCATCTAAAGCTTTTAAAAGCTTTTGTCCTCTAAAGCTTTAAAAAGCTTTTTTTCTTTTAAAGCTTTTAAAACATTTTATTTCTCTAAAGCTTTTATTCCTCTAAAGCTTTAAAGATCTTTTTTATCTAAAGCTTTAAAAAGCTTTTCCTCTGAAAAGACTTAAAAACTTTTTCTCAAAAATTAATTGTTCTAAAAAGCTAAATAATAGCTTTTTATTAAAGAAGCTTGCTGAAAGCTTTTTATTAAAAAGCTTGCTAAACGCTTTTTATTTAAAAATCTAAATAAAAGCTTTAAAGCTTTTTTATTTTTACATTTTCTTCTCTTTTTGCTAATTTCTATTCAATTTTCCACTTTTAGAAGCCTTAAAAAGCTTTTGTTCCTCTAAAAAAGACTTAAACACTTTTTCTTAAATATTAATTGTTCTGAAAAAGCTAAATAATAGCTTTTTATTAAAAAAAGATTGCTGGAAGTTTTTTTATTAGAAAGCTTGCTAAACGTTTTTTATTAAAAAATCTGAATAGCTTTATTATTTTTACATATTCTTCCCTTTTTCCTAATTTATATACAATTTTCCACTTTTAAAAGCTTTTATTCTTCTAAAGCTGTTCCTGCAAAAAACGACTTAAAAACTTTTTCTCAAACATAAATGGCTCTGAAAAAGCTAAATAATAGCTTTTTATTAAAAAAGCTTGATAAAAGCTTTTTATTAAAAAGCTTGCTAAACGCTTTTTATACAAAAATCTTAAAAGCTTTTTTTTATTTTTAAAATTTTCTTTCCTTTTTCCTAATTTCTATTCAATTTTTCCACTTTTAGATCCCTTTCCCCAAATGTTGCCCTTGGGCATGCCACCACACCATATGATGGTGCCAGCACCTCGTCCCACTCTGCCCGGCAATGTTGAGGCCAAATTGGAAAATAATGATTTATGGCAGCAATTTCATAAGATCGGCACTGAAATGATTATCACCAAAAGTGGAAGGTAAGTTTGTTGAACAAAAAAATTTTGGTATCCTAAACAAATATTTGTGCAGCTCTTAGAAAGGGCAAGTGATGTAGGGCGCCAGCTATAAATTTCTCTAAAAAAACTGTCATTAAACATTTACTTTGTTAAAATGTTTGTGAAAAGAACCCAAATAAATAGTGGAAGTATTTAGATAGGATCAAGAGGGAGAGTAAAAAACAAATATTAAAAGGCGCCTTTGATTAACTACACAAATAGTTTTCAGGCAGGCAATAAGCAAATAAAAGAAACCAGCCTTAAAGTAGGCTTTAGTTTGTTGCTTTATAAGATTATTTAACATAAACAAGAGAGTGACTTTGAAATTTCTCATTAAAGTTTAAGAATTTTCTTTTATGTGATAACTTTTGAAACAAAATGTACTTAAAAAAGCTTTAAATAACTTAGAAAAGCTTTTCACTACTTTTTCACTTTAAAAAGCTTGAGAAAAGCTTAAAAAAATAGTAAAAAAGTACTATAATAGTAAAGAAACTTGTAACAAATTCACAACATTAAATAAAGCTTTATTATCTAAAATTCATTTAAAAATTACTTAGAAAAGCTTTTCGCTGCTTTTTTCTTCTTAAAGTGATGAAGTAGTAAAATGGTAAAGAAACTTGTAACAAAATTCACAACATTGGATTAATAAAGCTTTAAAGCTTTTGTCTTCTTAAAAACTTTACAAATATCAATAACATTTTTTTACTTTCTTGATTAACTTTTTAAGAAAACTATTAACAGTTTTGTAAAGCTTTTAAAACTGTATCCTAGTCTATTATTAAAGCTTTAAAGCTTTTGTTAGAAAAAGATAAAGTAAAACAAGTAAGAGAATATTAAACTTTTATATAACAGTAAAAGCTTTTAAAGTTTTAAAGCAATTTAGCAAAAACAAAACTAACTTTCTAAGGTTTTATGGTTCAAGCTTTAAAGCTTCTGCAACTTTACAAAATCAAGCCCCTTAGTTTAAACTTAATATTTCAATAATCTTAGAAATCAAAATCAATTAATTGTTCTTTAAATTTATGACAATAATATTTGGAATTATTTATCACAAAACTCTGGTTTACATTAAAAATTATTACGAAAACCTTCTAACACACATCAAACACTTTGAAAATGTTCAATTTAAAAGGAATTTTGTTCGAAAAAAAAGAAAAACGAAGCAAGTAATAAAAGTAACATTAAAAAAATTTTACCGCTGGCGCCAGTTAAATCATAAAAACAGCATAAGGTCGGTCATTTCATTTCATTACAGGAGAGATCAGTGAGACCATAGTCCACAGCAGACACTTGTTTCATTGTTTTTAACAAGTGTTGACAATAACTACAAAACATTTTTAGTTTATTGTTTTAGAATTTCTATATTTTTTCCAAAAATAACAACAACATATATAAAACGACAACGTCACAACCAAAATTTATGATTATTGACAAATATGAAGCAGACAAAGAATGAAAAGGGTCACCCAATAACTACTACCAACTACCTGAGATTTCACACTTTTTTTCTGTGTGATAATGATAAGTTTAACTTGTTGTTGTTGTTGTTTTTGTTTTAGTTGAAATAAAAACTAAAAACAATATAATGAAGGCGGCGGCATCTCTTAATAATTCATTAAGTTCATTGTTTTCTTATAATTTAGTAGACAGGTTTTAGGTAGCCGTTACAAGTCGGGATCTATAACTTGTAAAAATCTTTTTTTCTTTTATTTCAGTTATTTATTTAATATTTGAAAATTAACATAATTATGTTTTAAGATTTTTATGTAAATTTTTGTTGTTGTCTATAGAGTGTTTGCTTATGTTTTGTTCGGTCCGACCAACCGACCTGTCATTGTTTTGAGACATTTTAAGGGAGCTGTTGCCGCTGCTCATTAAGTTCTCATTATAATATTCATAAGAAATATACAAATGATTGTAGGGAATATAATTTAAAATAAATTAAAAAAGATTGTGCAGACAAAAGAAACGTTTAAGGGGAAGACAAGAGTGAAGAGACAAAACAATAGTTATTTAATAAAATTTTGAGAATTTTTCTAAAAGGAAACTTCATTGAAATTGAATAAACAAAGAAAAGCAAGAAGTTTAAAACTTGACACATTCCTATAAACATTTATCTATAAAATTTTTATATTTTATATAAATAAAATAAAAATTTTTCTTAGCTTTTCTTAATGTCTTGATATAAATGTCATGATATTTTTAGTTTAAACTAACTTTAGGTATTTAATTCAAATATTAAACTCACCCTTAACAAAAATAACAATTTTAATAAAATTTTTTAACTTAACTTGATATTTATGTCATGACATTAATGTTAATTAATAATGTCTGGACATAAATCTCATTTTAACACAAATATGTCATGACATTGAAGTTTTATATTAAAGAAAAATATAAAGTTTCAAGAATTATTATTAACGGCAAAACATAAATGTTATGTTAACATAAATATGTCATGACATTTAGTAATTAAAATTGTCTTAAACAATTGCTTATTCCGAAAAGTCTTAAAATCGTGTAACAATTTAAATAATATTTAAATTTTAAGAAAAAAAAAACATAATTTCAAAAGTTAACATAAATGTCATGACATAAATCTTTAGTAAAATTAGAAATGTCATGACATTTAATGTTTTATTTTTAAGGAAAATTGTATGACAATTCAAATAAAATTAAAAATATAATTTCAATAGTTAACATTAATGTCAAGACATAAATCTTTTTAGTAAACACAAAAATGTCTTGACATTTAATGTTTTATTTTTAAGAAAAAATACAAAAATTAAAGAGTTTTGGTTAATTACATAATATAAATGTTATGTTAACATAAATATGTCAAGACATTTTTATGTTATAACAATTTATGTCAATGAAAGTAAAATTTTTGACTAAAAACGGCTTTTGTTACATGATAAAGTTTCAAAATTTTTACAAAACTCTTTAAATAAAAGTTTTCTAAAAAAATTATGTCATGACAACTGTTCAACATATCTCAAGACATAAAATTTCACTTAACATTTTAAAGGGAAATAAATGTTAATAAAAGACAAATTTAACACAGACATTAACATATATATCTTAATAAATTTCAACAATTAAAGAGTTTATGTTAATGTTATGACAAAAATGTCATGTTAACATAAAAATGTCTTAAGATTTTTAATGAAAAAGGAACAGAAAACTTTTAATTTAAAACAAAAAAGTCTATAAGTTCAAGTCTGTAAATTAAATAAAACTTTTGTTAACAAAAAATGTCAAGAAATATGTCTTAATATAAAATAAACCAAAGCTTTGGGTTTGTCAAAGCTTTTATTTTCGTTTTCTTTTGAAAAAGTCTAACAAAAGCTTTAAGATAAACGTAAATCTTCGTCTTCGGTAAAGCTGCTTTTAACAAACCTATAGTATTTTAATAATAAAGCTTTAAAGCTTTTCTGTTCATAAAATAATACATAAAAACTTATTAGCATCTTAAATCGCTAAACAGCTTGAGAAACTTTATAAAATAGACTAAAACATTTAATAGTTTTGTAAAGCTTTTCAAGTGCATCATAATTTAAGGTGAAAGCTTTAAAGTTTTTGTGAGAAATCTAAAAATTAAACAAAATTATAAATGAAACTTTAAAAGCCAAGCCTTAGAAAAGCTTTTTTTAATAAGAAGCAGATATTCTTCACTTTCATTGATCCAGCTAAGACTTGACATAAAACAAATCTTAATATAAAGCTTTTGTTAACCCGGAATCTTAAGACAATTGTCAAACTTAAGTTTCAAAATCAAATTTCTTTTAAAATCTAACCAAACAGTTGCTGAAAACTCAAAAATTTCTTTAAAAAAATTAGCTTTTTGCCTTAAACAAAAGCTCCCACAAATTTGCCAAACACACGTGCTGCCGAACTTAACATTTATTATAAAATTATTCATATTATAACACTTCTGTTTTGTTTACTTTCTAAAGAAAAAAAAAAACCTAACAAAACTAGCAATTAATTTGACACTCTTTATCACATATTTTTTTCACTCTCTCTCTCAAATTGCTGATCTTGTTTAGTTTTTTTTTCAAAATTTAAATTCTGATAATTAATCATTATGGGGTATTGAAATTTATGTTTAATTTTGTTGTGGCTTAAAGATATTGACCTTTTCTTTGTGATTTTATTTGTTTGTGCCTTAATTTAAATTGTGTAAATGGCGCCAATCGGTTTATGATCGCCTGCTGTTATAATGATCACTGTCTTGGTTTTTTTTTACTCTTTTGTTATTTTGGTTTATTCTTGACGTTTGATAATTATATATGAGTATCAGAGGGCTCTGTTAAAACACTTGTTAAGGCTGGAGTTTATTTAGTTTTAAGGTTTTGTTGTTTATCATATCAAAACCACAAATCAGCCAAAGTTTACACCCATTTGTTTAGGGAATATATATATAATTTTCATTTCATTTGGATTTTTCTTCACAATAATGATTTATGATGTTTGAAAACTAACTTTTTTTTCTTATTTTTTCTCTTTTAGACGTATGTTTCCTTCGATGCGTGTTTCGGTTAAGGGTTTAGAAGAAGAATCCCAATATTGTGTTTTATTGGAAATGGTTCCTATTGGTGATTGTCGTTATAAGTTTTCGGGTTCTCAATGGGTGCCGGCTGGAGGTGCTGAACCTCAATCGCCTCAAAGAATGTTTTTACATCCCGATAGCCCTTCGACCGGTTCACATTGGCAATCTCAAACTATATTATTCAATAAAGTCAAATTGACTAACAATACCATGGATAATAGTGGTCATGTAAGTATCTCTCTATTCCCTCTTTCACTCTCTCTCTTAAATCTTCTAACTCTTAAACCAAAATATTAATAAAAATTTTCTTTTCCTTTCTCTCTTTTAGATCGTTTTGGCCAGCATGCATAAATACCAGCCCCGTTTGCATATAATTAAGACATCCGATTTGTCTCAATTACCCTGGGCTCCTCAGCAAAATTATGTATTTCCTGAAACCGAATTCATAGCTGTGACCGCCTATCAGGTTAGTACTTAGTCCCTTTTAACAAAATAAACTCCTATTACCGAAAACAAAAAAACCACTTGAAATGTCTAGACTCTAACAAATCCTAACCCCCCGCAGGTCCACATATGTAGATCTTAAACTTGTTACTATTTTTTAACATACGTTAACAAAACGAAAACAATGTTTAAATAAAAATTTCACGCCTCTAGACAATCCATTCATGAAGACACTTAAAAATGTCGCGCCAGTTTTACTTAAAGGCGCGCCAAGTTACACTTTTTACTATAACAGCCATAGAATTTGCTAATTACTGACGTCAATTTTGACACTTTCAAGTATTTTTAAATAAATATGACTTCATATTACTTTCACTTAAGAAAAAAACATATTAATAATACATGTTCTCTCTTTGCTTCTCTTTTTTTCTATTTTTAGAATGATCGTATAACAAAATTGAAAATTGACAATAATCCCTTTGCTAAAGGTTTTCGTGAAACTGGTCAATCAAAATGTAAAAGAAAAATGATGTCTTCATCATCCTCTTCCTCCTCCTCCTCTTCTTCAAGTCAGCATGAGGAAAGTGATGATTGTTTGTCTAAATCAGAAGATGATCGTTCAAGTGTTTCAAGTTTTGACTCACCACCCCAGCAGAAACGTTTGAGATCTTTAGAATCTTCAGATGAAGAATGTTCGCCTCAAGCATTACGTTATGAGCAGTATTTAATGGCTCAACATAAGCAACAACAACAACAGCTACAAGCTCAATATATGAATTCTCCCACTTCTTCATTTTATCATCCTCATCAACAGCAATTGGCTTCTTCACAATTTATGCAGCAACATTTACAATCTTTAATCATGGATCCTTTGAGATACAACCTAACTTCTCATGCTCTACAAATGCCAGCTCCTACATATCAACCTTCCCCAAATCATGAAGAAACCAAATCCTTAGCCTCTTCTTCAGCACCTTCTCCCACACCCTCTACCTCATCTGCTGCTTCATCCTCCTCAGCTGAAACCTCTACAGCACCAGCTCAGCCCGCCTCCCAAAAGAGAAATAATTTTAGTATTTCCGCTATTTTGGCTTATTAAGATCATTTAAAAGGTGACGAAGAGAGGGCGAGAGAGAGAAAGAGAGCAGGACGTCGTTGTGCTAACGAGCATGATTTATGTTAATTTTTTAATTATGATTGTGATGTTTTATGTATGCTGTGCATCGTTATTTTGATTTATATATATTTTTAAGTTATGATTTATTATTGTTAAAAAAAAATTGTTAAATTATTTTTATTTACATTTAAATTTAGTTAGTAAGTTAAACATTGTAAATTAGTTTAGTAAGTTTTAATTTTGGAAAATTTTATAATAAAATCTTTATGAAACAACAATAATTTGAAGGGCGTTTTACTGGTGTTTATGCTTATATTTCCAACAATGAGTAAGCAGCTTTAGAATCGCTACAAAATAACACTGAGAGTTAAGGGAAAGGTTGTCGAGTATTTGTGCTTTATAGATTCTAATGCCAAGAATTAGTGCTTTCAAATAATTATGCCAGAAGTTGATATTTGAAGCAAACAATTTCTGTTGATTTAACTTTTCAACTTTTTGTGATCTTGTCATAATAATCTTTTCTTCCGACTTTACATTTTGGGTTCTTCGTGATTCTTTCGACTTTGTTATTCGAAAAAATATCTCGTGATTGCTTTAGCCTGTCAATACTTGCACTTGTATTAGCATTTATTCAATATTACCAAACTATTAACCCTTAAATGTCCGAAATTTATCTTGGTTTTTGTATGCTTGAGGACACAAATAGAAACCATCATGAGCGATATTAGGTTGTTCGCATTCATTATTCATTAGTTGAGTTAATATATATGGAAAGATTTTACCATTTCAAGAAAAAACTGATAGTTCGCAAGAACCAAAACGAATTCTTTTTCAAGTGGGTTTCAAGACTTATTCAAGACTCCCAGTTGTTTTTGTAGCAGTGCGACTGTTACCGATAATACTTTCCAGGGGAAAAACTTTCGGTTTAACGGAACGGAAATTTCCAGTAATTCTATTTGCATTAGCATACGAGTGTTAAATAAGACGTCATCAAATTTGCATGTTGATACGAGAAGTTATTGAGCCGCTACTGGAGCTTCAAAATGTTTTCGTTTCATTTTGTACGAGAAGCCGAAGGAAATTGGAAGACTCTTACTTAAGTAAGATAGATCTGATTGATCGTTGGCACTTATTATAGTATCTAAGTAGTTATATGTTAATATTCCCCAAATATATGTAAATACTTCCCCAACCATTTCGGGGAAAAATTGTTGATTGTTTAATACTTTGTCATATACAGGTTATCCAGATTTGTATCTTTTCGTGGAAAATATTGACTTTTACTTCGGACATCCAAACTTTTCCAAACTACATTTGAACGACCTACTACTAGGACGATCTAAAAAACTTGTTTTCGTCAAAATTTAGTTTGTATGATAAGACTATATCTAATTCGCAGGCTCATACGAGAAGTAACTGATGATTCAAGTGCTTTCGTTTAATTTTGCACGAAAAGCCGAAGAAAATCGGAAGTCTCTGACCCACCTAAGATAGATGTGATTGATCGTTAGCGCTCTACAGTTCTAAGTAGTAAAAATAAGTAAAATAAAAGTAGTTCTAAATAATCCCTAGATGTTAACGAGTTTCTTAAAGTTTTACCATTCCGGTGAAAAAAATTGTGATTGTTTAATACTTTGTCATATATAGGACTTCCAGTCGCGTGTCTATTTCAGCATCCTCAAAAGCACTACCTAACTATTCACATTTTTGGAGTTTCTCAATTTTCCGTGGAAAATGCACACTTTTACTTCGGACGTTGGGAAGTCGAAATGTAGTTTGCCATTAACATTGGCTATTAGGAAGATCCTAAAACTTGTTTTCAAAATTTAGATTATACGAGTGTTAAATAAGACGATATCTAATTCTTATTACTTCGGACATTCTGAAGTCCACACATAGGACTTCCAAACGTAGTTTGTCACTAACATTGTACTTAGTTTTGTAGAAGAAGTTAGTGAAAATTGGAAGACTAAGACGCAAATAAGATAAATGCAATTGATCTCTACCTTATGTTCGTGGCAGAAATTTAATAACTCAGCCGTTGCTATATCTGCTCTGTTTTTATTCACGGATAGCGACGCTAAACCTTCATTTACCCCATTACTTATATATCATCACTTTTCTGAACTTTTTTCCAATATTACAACGTTTAATGGAACTTGATGTATTTTGTAAGATCCCTGCTAGATCATAACATACGACAAACTGTTATGAAAACCGACCCTGTCGAATAGGATTTCGGGGTCTAATATACATATCTACTTGAAGCCCGGAAAATCGGCTATTTGATCTTACTTAAGTTGTATTGAAAAGATATTACAGTACTTTAATAACTGGTGCGCTTTTCACATGTGTCGATAGTTGGATTATAACAGAAATAGGTCCACTGTTTTGGAGAATTATTTTTCCAATGTTTCTGATTAGGAAAGTGTTGTGGAATGTAGAACCAATTAGTGAGGAAATATTATAAGGTAGCGTCTATCATACTTATTTAACCATAGTAAGATTTAGAAGTAAGTTTTTTTTATACCTTTCCTACTTTCAGTCCAAGTTCAATCACGAGCATAGAACGACGAATTATTGGGTTATTATTAAAATCTTCACTACACAGTTCATCTACAAATTAATTTAAAAAAAAGCTTATGCGATTGTGATATAGTTTGGTTATTCAATTGTCAATGAATTCGAAATCGGTGGATTAGCCTTCAGTACATATTTATGGGAACAATTCTATCATTACTACGTTTTTTCTGTCAGCCTCTTTTTCTGATAATCGTTGTAGAGTCAATCTCATTTTTGAAGGCATTCGGCTTCCCTATACAAATAAGAATACTATTGCATCTATTTGCTCTTTGAATCAATTGAAGGGAAGCTTTCGGTATTGCAAACTATTCTAGATTTTCTTACAAACATTACTTGTTTCATTATCCCCACCAGTCTTACTTATTGTAAAGTTTAGTGGAACTCGAGGAAGTTACGTCTTTACCACATTAATAGTTCAATAGAAAAAGTTCAATCAATCAGTAACAATCTTCCCTAAGGATTTTGAAGAAACTCTTTAGAAAATCGTCATACATTAACTGGATTTCTATCATGATATTTCGACGACTCAAGTAATCTATTGATCCATTATATAGAAGCTGTTGAGCTTGTGATCTAACCGAAATTTCAACTCTGGCTTGAGGTACTCCATCGATCTAGTTCTCTATTCATCCATTTAAAAAAAGGCTTACGTGATCGTAGTCTGATCGAGATTTTCCTGTGAGCATTTGAACCATTCTCTCCAACTAGTTTTCAGAAAAAATTCCAATAGATGTGAAGATTGATGTCTAAGAATCAAGAAACCGATCTAATTATAGGTAAACAAAATGTATGATGTTGAGCTTGACTCTAGTAGAAATCTATCTTTTTGAATCACATAACCTCAAATTGATCAAGATATTTGAAAGCTAAAAATATCACTGAATAAATAAAACTAAAAAGTTTTATTGCAAATTAAGTAACTAATTTTTTATTAATTTATAAACAAAAGGAAGACGTTGGTGAAACTCAATTAAAATAAATAATTCAACCAAATATTTTATTATCAATATTTACCCAACTTTTTAATTTGCTTAATATCCGTTGATCATTAATTTTAAACTTTATTAATATTTAATTAAATTAGTATTTAGTTAACACTAAAACACAAAAAGAAGCTCTTTCTTTAAGGCAATGCAATATTGACTTTTTTTGTTGGATATCGAACATTCAAATCCTACACATTTCCCTTTCCGTTATGCTAATCATTGATGATTTTTGAACTTTTCAAAAGAAGTATTTTTAATTAAAATTTTTTGTATAGCTTAAAAAAGCAAACGCATCATATCTGAAATGATCAAATTGATGGCGCCAGAAATTCCACGCTCAATGCCACGGTTTTTAATAGCTGACTGACCAAACGGCCGCACGACCGACAGAAGCGATTGAACGAACGACCGCACACAGTGGACACTAAAGCGTAAGATTTTTTTACACACACACACTAACACTGCGTTATCAAAAGTAAAAGGTAGCAGCAACAGTAGTGCTGTTGTTGGAGAAGAAGTGGAATTAGACTGCAACAGTGTTTTAAGATTAAAGTCAAGTGGGGGAATTTTTGAGTGTGTATTGTGGCTGTTGCACTATATGCTGTGGAAAATAAAGCCACTAGTCGCTTGAAGTGAAAAGTGTTGTGGCAGCTAATGTTTGTACATGTTATTTCACCACCTTGATTTACGGTTTTTCTGGTTGAATGAATCAATGGATTTCATTGGAGTCAATGGGGTTGCCAAGTAGTAGTTTTCAAGACTTCCTCGCTAAATTTAAGAATGTCATTGCATTCAATTACTTTATTGATCAATCGAGATAGATCGTTGAAATGAAATTTTCGGGAACGCCATATGATCGAGATTTCTCTACGGATATTGGTATCATATAAACGATGAGATTGATTTATGGTCAAGTTAAGTGTATATTTAGGTGAAGGAAACTTAGATGGATGCTGAATAGAAATCTGTTGGATCATTATCAATCCATAAGGAATTTGAATCTACTTTTCTGATATTAATTGAACTAGTCCGTCTCCTTTCCATCTATTTTCACCAAAATACCACAACGTGTTATTCCCTTTTGCTTTCAATACTGAGAGATTTAATCGTAATCTTATTGTTAAGGTGATCGAGCAATCCTTACCCTTTCAAGATCGTCTATCTCTAGAGAAAAGATCAAGAATCACAATAAAAAGATCTATGGATAAATTCATTTGATATGAAATGCTGCAGTTAAATCAGAGATTCACACATTTTAAAAACATCTGATCATTAACTGATCTTGTAAATTTGCTGTCAATTGTCTTAGAGTTTCTCTTCCATAACTAAAAAGCAAGAAAAGAATCACGATCACTATAAATTACTTATAATTGTTAATAAATAGAAATGATTTATTATATATGGTGATCTTTATCAGATTCAGATTTATGAATAATCAGAGTGTTTTAGAGCTAAAGTTATATATTAATGAATCACGATCACAATAAACCAAATCATATCTCAGAAAATATTCAAACTGCTTATTATTTGGCT